ATATATATCTGAAATAAGATTCCAGACGTTAGCCTTGTAAATACCAACCTTGAGGGTATTACAGCAAAGACAGCCAAGAAGGTGGCAGAGCACTGAGACACAAAGTTCCTCCAGATGTTGCCCTCTTTGTCCTCCATCTCCTCCTCCTCGTCTGGCGCTGGTATATGGGATTCGCTAATGGGGTTCCTGGGGATAATTTTAAAATATATATATTTATATATATCACATGGGTGATTTGGGAAATTTTCAAAGCTCTCAACCAACTTGGCCCGGTGCTGTGGCAGTTCTCCTTTCTTGAAATGCATTAAAGGGGAGATAACTCATAGGGTACGGGGGAAATGACATGACTGAGAAATAGCGTGACCAAAGTGCACGAAAAAGGTCAAAACCAGGATTTAATTCCGTAATTAAGAAATATAGTGTTACTTGGATGCACTAAAAGAAAAATTCTTCCTTTAACGAGTAAGATGTTCTCAGAAAGTTCACGATTCTAAACGGTAGATAAGTTATTCAGAGATTGGGGGAGGGGTGAATTTTGGTAAATAGATCATATAGATAGACGGCAGAAACATTCGCACTCGCACCAAAATAAACAGACATACAGACAGACAGATATATAGACGAGACAAACAGGCAGACAGGCTGCCAAGCAGCCAGCCAGGCAGGCTAGCAGAATGCAAGGGGAAAAGAGAGAGAGAGAGAGAGAGAGAGAGAGAGAGAGAGAGAGAGAGAGAAACAGAGAGAAGGAGACAGACAGACAGACAGACAGACAGAGACAGAGAGAGACAGAGAGAGACTTGGGGTCAAGAAACCACAACAAATATAAAGTTCTAAAGCTCAAGAACTGTGAACAACCTAAGAACGCAGTACTCTTAAAATGTGAATTCCGAGTTTGGTGCACCCCGATGACGCTCTTTTCCCTAAGGAATTAAATCCCGGTTTGGCCATTTTTCCCGACAACCTCCATTCACAAAATGTCGGAAACTGACCCCAAGAGAGGGAGCTAATCGAACCAGCACAAGGAGCGAACAACAACAGGGAACATAAATTACGATCAATACTCGTGTGCTCAAACTTAAGACCCATTTATCAGTTAAAAAAGGGAGGGGGGCAACGATAAAAACGAGGGCCGATGCATAGATGGGTTGAAGAGTCAGAGGACGAGAAAAATAGAGGTGCAGTTAATGGAGTTTGTTTGCATTTTTTAATTGTCATGTTATGCATGATGTTTGTATGTTGTTATTGGGTGGGGGGGTTTTCGGAATTTTTTTTTTTTTTTTTTTTTTTTTTTTTTGGGGGGGGGGGGCATAAAGAGGACGGAGATTTCAGAGGCTTAAAGCTTGTGCCGGTGTTAAGTGTAACAAAGAATGTAAACACTAAGTGCCAAAATAAATGTCTGATATAGTGACCCCAACATCTCCTTTCCTCGAGCTGGCGGGCCATGGGTTAGTTCGATATTCTCTACCCCCTTCAAGATGGAAGCACAAACAACTGAAGAAACGGAGGAGGAGGAAGAGGAGGAAGAAGAGGAGCAAGAGGAAGAAGATGGAGAGAAAGAAGAGAGAGGGGAAGGAAAAGGAGGAGGGGAAAGAGGAGAAGGAGGTGGAGAATGATGAGCAGGGTTCGATGAGCAAGAATAGAAGCACGGGGCGGGGAGGGGGCAACGAAAAAAGATGATGATGATGATGATACTAGTGGTGGTGATTGGGATGGTGATGGTAACGTGATAGTGATGGCGATACACATCAACTACGTTTTATTGGTGAAAGTACTGGCCAACACCAATTCTCTCTCTTTTTCGTTAAAAAACAACAGTTTTTCTTCCCATTTTCAATCTTTATTCGCTTTTTTTCTGCTGCATCTCCCTGTACAGCAACAAAACTATGCTGAGGAAATTGAAAAGTATTGTTTGATATATCATATCTCTTTCATAATTGTTCTGTGCGCTCGGTTTGCCAGATCTGAAACTTCTGTCGTATAGATCTTAGTTTCAAACTCACGTTTTCCTTGTAAGGGAAATGAAAAACAAGGTGAGTCATTGTACACGTACGTCATATTCTAACATGTTTTTGTCGAGATTTTCAGATGAAGCATGAGATTTGTGAATTGGAAAAGGTTAATCGATCCAAAAAAAGGAAAGTTAGAAGGAAAGTGGACATTAAAAGAAACAAATATCTGACTGAGCAGTAATTGCAAATGAAATAGACGGAATAGGTGATTTCAGGAAATTAATACGCTTTTCATAAGATATTAACTGTCCGATCCTTATTCATCGGGGCGCTGGAGGAAAATTAAAGAATTGACAGAGCATTGTGATCTTTCCTGTTCTGCCCTGGTGTCAGGTTACTACATATTGTAAAATCAACAGTCTTGTCACGTCCTCATACTCCTTTTCTTATTTCTTTGTTAGTGTTGTTATTGCTGCTGTTTCGTGTATGTGTGCGTGGTTTTGGGCAGCTGGGGAATTTTTTGTTTTTGTTTTTGTTTTGTTTGTTTTTTGTTTGATGTTGTTTGTTTTTTATTGTTGTTGTTGTTTTGGTTTTTTTGGGAGGGGGGCTGTTCTGATTTGTTTTGGTTTGTTTGTTTTATCCTGTTTGATTTCTATTGTTGTTTTGCGGAGGCGGGCTGCAGCTGGTTGGCTATCCTTTTGTTTCGTTCGGGTTTTATTTTGTTTGTTTCTCTTTTAAATGTTTGCATTTTTTTCAAATGTTGTTTTTGTTATTTTGTGTGCTCTGTTTTTGCTTTCATCGCGGAGAAACAATGATTTTACTAAGTGAAGAGATTATAACACTGCGCCCCCTCTCCTTTCCTGTCACACCCCCCTCTCTCTCTTATCTCTTTCTCTCTCTCTCTCTCTCTCTCTCTCTCTCTCTCTCTCTCTCTCTCTCTCTCTCTCTCTCTCTCTCCCTCTCTCTTTATGTATGTTTTTAGACAGACAGACAGACAGACAGACAGACAGACAGACAGACAGACAGACAGACAGACAGACAGACAGACAGACAGACAGACAGACAGACAGACAGACAGACAGACAGACAGACAGACATCAGACAGACAGACAGACAGACAGACAGACAGGTAGATAGACAGACAGATAGATAGATAGATAGATAGATAGATTAGATAGATAGATAGATAGATAGATAGATAGATAGATAGATAGATAGATAGATAGATAGATAGATAGATAGATAGATAGATAGATAGATAGATAGATAGATAGATAGATAGATAGATAGATACAAAAGCTCTGTTACACCCATTATTCTACGATAACTTTCACTAAATTAATGCATAAGAATTACAGCAAAAATTCAAAAAGTGAATGTATGATTTGTGTGACTTTTGAAATCCCTGCAAGATCAACATGAACCGGAGGTAGTAAGTGGGCTAAGTGTTGGCACTGGTTTTTCACGATGTACGTTGAAATCAACGAATCTTACACGCAAAATTTGCTTTGAATCCCACAGACATTGTGTAGATTACTTTTACACGCTATAATAATCAGTGCTTATTAACAGATAGTCATTTGTTCAGCTGTGTTCAAAACAGACATTGCAGAACATGAACGCGCTGTGTGTTTAATTATAAATTATGATTAATTCTGGAATTGTGATCTCTGTTGTTTCAAGACAGTAATTGTGTGCAGAATAACCAACTAACACTTGATAAAGTGTTTTAACTCAATTTAAACTGTCCAAGACAAATCTAGACTTCGCCAACAAAAGGGCGACAACTCGACATTTGAATTGGGTTATTGTCAACGCCTATGTTTGAAACCCTTTCCAACTGAATTATTAGACGTTTACGTGACAATGGAGAAATTGCTCAGGGAAAGAGACCAAGGGGTAGGCCAAAATTGAGTTACAAAGACGCCTGCAAAAACAGGTTATCTAAGTTTGGAGTAGATGTCCGCATCTGGGAAGAAATAGCTGAGGACAGGAAAACATGGAGTAAAAAGATAAAGGAAAGAACTATTGTGCTAGAGAGCAGCCTTCGAAACAAGCAGGTTGAGAAGCGCCAACGACGAAAGGAAAACAGCGGAAATACTGAGCTTTGATCCACGTCACTGACGACATGCAAGCTCTGAGACAGAATCTGCGCTTCAAACATAGGAAAAATTAGCCTTGAAAGAAGCTGCATGAAGACGACCTTGAGACCGTCTTAAGCAAAATTGACCGTCTGCACAGACGAAAAGGGGCATACACACGTGATCAGGGAATACGTGATTATCGCCCTTTACGTAGAGCCATTCTAACCATAATATATTTTTGAAGAAATCACCAAATTTGGGCGCAACATCCTTGACGATGGAACAAAGGTGTTGCTAAAGTGCTCTCTTCAGCAATGGTCCAGGTTTCAATTTGTCCCATTGATGAAAGAGAAAAGATGTTCAAAAGAAGAGGATGCGGATTTCACAAAGCCAACGTCCGCCAAGAGAACCGATTCGACTGCTGAAATGTGATGGTGCAGGGGTGGAATCTCTGCTCTTAATGTTTACATTTGGTCAATATTCAAAGCAACCTGAAAGGACAACGGTACTGTGACGAAATTCTTGATCACTGTACACTTCCGGTCCCTACATGACAAGGATGATGGAACGTGCCAACAAGACAACGCCCCACCCCATGCGGCCATGATCTGTCAATGTTCCTTTCAAAATCATCAAATCAATTTTCTGGACTGGCCTGAAAGATCAACAGGCCTTTACCCAACAGAACATCAGTAAGATGACCTTCACGGGGGGATTAGAAACAGCCGCCTCTGTGAAAACTCGTCAGTCACTGAAGGCTGCACTTCCCTAGGAAGGGTACGAATTCCTCAGACAACCAACCATACAGACATTAATTCAGTCAATGAAATGACGTTTTGTACTAGTAAATCAAGCTGGAAGAGGCCACACACAAAACTGAGCAAACTTTGATTTGGATTTTGCAAGGGTCGGTGTAATAAAATTATCTCCCTTGAATGAGGAAAGACACTGGCCAATTCTTTTCATGTCATGTTGGTATAAAATAAAAGAAGATCAAATGTATGTCTAAAAAATTTTGCTTGGCTATGCTTAAAAAATGTAAATGTGTTATCTGCACTTCAAAAGTGGAAGTAACCGTACTTTTTCAACAAGATACATAGAATAATAATAATATACATTTTAGAAAAATATATTATTATATATAAAATTATAT